GCAAGCAATTTCCTCTCCAAGCGGTCCTGGCAGCGAGAACACCAGGATCAACGGTACCTCCCATACTCTTCCAAAGATCCTCCGGAATACCAGACATATAGCTTTGAACAACGTCGCCAGCTCGCATACCTTCCGCAGCCAGGATGTAGCTCAGCTTCTGGGTTTCTTGACTGCGCACAAGCGCGATATGGGCACTTCGCCCAGGGTCGTGTTCGATGCGTTCTACCAGATGTGGCCCCGGAGCAGTCCGTGCAAAGTCAACAATTCGAATGCGGCGTTTGTGACCACCACCACGGTGCCGAACGGTGACCCTACCCGTGTTGTTTCGACCACCCTTGCCCTGGCCTCGTTTGGGGAATGTCAACTTGTGCACCGGACGTCCCTTCCACAGATGGTCATTGACCGGCCTTCGCAAATGTCTGATACCGGGAGTCCGCGGCTTGTACGATCGAAGGAGAACGCCAGCATCATCACGGGTTGGTGGAGGGGCAAAAGCAATGCTTGGATCGAAGGTTGAGCTGGATGAGTCTTCAACCGGGGGCTTCTCTTGCTCGTGGATGACTGTTGCATATGCTCGTGACGATACTGAAGACAGGAATCTGAAGGGTAGGCGAAGACCCGTCAGGGCAAGCCGAGGTTGAAGCATGATGTCAAGTTGTATCTCGATTGATCGGAAATATTCCAGGCGCTGCCGGAGCTGCGAGATTCGGCCTGCGCGATTTAAGGAGCAAGTAAGCAATCAATGGTGAAGCATACCCCCTCAATGCTGAACGATAAATGCAGAGACAAGATCCAGACACCCTCTCAACCGATGACAACACTCCTTGGCCAATGGGAGTGTCGTCGTGATCTGCTTGTGCTCCAGAAAATGTCTTCGATTGCCTGGTGCGGATGTGGCTCGCGAAAGATCACCTGACTTTCTGCACGGCCACTGCATGTCAATTGTGGCGCAGCAGGGGGAGAGGGAGATCACGGGACTGCGCGACACGGGAACACGTCGAACGAAAGGTTCAGAGGTTCAGCCGGTTGCTGGGCAACAACATATTGTTTGGGTGGTCGGGCGCGCGCTGCATCACGTTTGATGCCCGTGATGGCGTCTGTTCTGACTTTCTGCCTGGGGATAAACTATCAGGCATCGATACTTGTTTGACAGAGAGCCTCCACCGCTGTAAATTATCGTTCTGTCGATGACGATATCTATACGGAGATTTCCGTACCTTGCTTTGCTTCCTGCCGGTGACCTTCAATGCATCCTGTATCAACATGTAGAGAGTAGTCACTGTATGAATCTATTAGAAGTAGTAGCTAAGGTATTTGGGAAGAGAGATTGAATATGCCCTATAAGTTGGAGCATTTTCAAGAATAATTAGTGTCGAGCCGTAGCCCTGTAGTAGGTACGGGGGATTTCGATACTCCTTCTTGCCCATCCAGTGAAGATCCATACAATACCTATTACCTTACCATCTGGGTGACTTCTTTTATTACCGTCACGACCCCTTTCCGTCCATCTTTTACTCTGGCTCTTTGCATTGTCTCACGAGGTGTCCCGTATTTCCCTTTTATCAGAGGCCATTCTTCACTCACAGATTATATTAATTGAGCCAAGTATCTCATATCTCATACTTCATACGGGGTTTGTCAAGATCAGCTCTTCCATCTTCTACGCGGTATCTACATCATACAACTTGGTGGTTGTGCTGTGGGGCAGCTTTGCCAGCGTAGGTTTGTTTCCACGCTAAGCGTAGGGCCAAACATCGCCTTTGCCCTGTCAACTTTACCAACCTTCTTTACACCACCCCAGCAGTACTGCTACTTCAAGACAGCGAAGAGCACCTCGAAAACACATAATCATCGGTTCTTCGCGCGTCATCTCTAGCCATCGGGACTTTTCATGAAAATCTGCTCGCTGACACGAAGTTCTACTTGTTTTGCGCGCCCGAATAAGACGTGATTTGAGACCTCAAAGGGTTCTGTCAACAACATCATTGGACCCATATATGCGATTATTTTTGACGACTCTGCAACAAAATTCCCTTCCTATAAGTAGGAATTCTCCTTCAAGTTGCATTGCTGGTCATTGAACGTATTTCCACGCGTGGTACGTGCAATCTGCGCCTTGGCTCTCAGGTATTCTATCCCCACCGGGGTGATCTGGAATGCTGACTGGAGAGCTTCTGCAGGTCGACAATAGCTACAGTATATCTCCTTTCTTTTTCCTTCGCCTTCCTACGTACTTCTTCTCTCTCTTCTCTTCAGCATCATGCCTCCGGTAAGTTCTACCCATGAGAGACACGCGTAATGTTTCTATCTACAATTTTTCGAAAGCCATTGTGCTCTTTGGTTTGATGATTGCAATTGTATTCTGATTGACCTTGTAACAGGCCCGAGGTCTTCGTACACGAGGTACAATGAACGAAAATGACGAGAACGGGCCGTCGACGCGTCTGACACGAGCAAAGGCTGCTGCTCTGTCAGCAGGAGATGTTCCAACAACCACCGCGGCTGCTAAAAAGCCTCTTCAGACCAAGAAGGCCGCCACCAATTCAACGACCACGGGAACACAAAGAAGACGCGCTGCCCTTGGAGATGTCAGCAATGTTACAAAAACTGAAAATGGCGAGACCAAGGAAACGAAGAAATCAGCGTCTGGCAAGGTCGGCTTGACGTCGAAAGCTACCATGCAGACTGGTGGTGTTCAGAAGCTGAGCAAGGCCAACGCATCACGTACGGCCTTGGGCGCCAAAGATAACAACGCGAAGAAGCCTGCGGTTGTTGAAGGAAAGCGTCCTGGAAGTGGTTCTGGTATCGGCAGCACACAAATGAAACGGACGTCCAGCCAGAAATCGGTACAGGAGAAAACCCTGCAGGCTGGGGAACCGCCGCGCAAGAAGGTCGAAGTCGAGAAGGTCAACGAAAAGAAGACGGCCGTGGAGAAGGGTTCCACAGTAAAAGAAGATGCTGTGATTGCCGCTGAGCCTGAAGTCGCCAAGAAGTCTGAGGACGTAGTCGACGACTTGGACACTGAAGATTTGGACGATCCTCTGATGGTCGCTGAATACGTGGTGGAGATCTTTGACTACCTGAGAGACCTGGAGTTGGAGACATTACCCAACCCTCAGTACATTGAGCACCAACCAGACCTTGAGTGGAAGATGCGTGGCATTCTTGTCGACTGGCTGATTGAAGTTCACACACGCTTCCGTCTGCTCCCCGAGACGCTTTTCCTCGCTGTGAACATCATCGACCGTTTCCTTTCTGCTGAAGTCGTCGCACTTGATCGCCTTCAATTGGTCGGAGTTGCCGCCATGTTCATTGCTTCCAAATATGAGGAAGTTCTTTCACCCCATGTGGCCAACTTCAGCCATGTCGCAGACGAAACATTCACAGACAAGGAGATTCTCGATGCCGAACGCCACATCCTAGCCACCCTCGAGTACAACATGAGCTATCCCAACCCCATGAACTTCCTCCGTCGTATTTCGAAGGCAGACAATTATGACATCCAAACTCGTACCCTTGGCAAGTACCTCATGGAAATTAGCCTTTTAGACCATCGCTTCATGTGCTATCCTCAAAGTCACGTCGCCGCAGCCGCGATGTATCTCGCTCGGTTGATCCTGGAACGTGGGGCTTGGGTAAGGACCTTCGCACTTGCGAGGCAGAGTGATTTCTTCGTAACGCTAATTCAAACTAGGACGCCACCCTAGCGCACTATGCTGGCTATACCGAGGAAGAGATCGATCCTGTCTTCCGATTGATGATCGATTACCTTCACCGTCCTGTATGTCACGAAGCGTTCTTCAAGAAATATGCAAGCAAAAAGTTCCTCAAGGGTGAGCTCTCCACGATCATGCCGTCGGAATTCAGCAGCAGCTAATCAGTCTGTCTAGCCTCCATCCTTACCCGGCAGTGGGCCAAGAAATACCATCACATGTACATTGATAGCGCACTCACGGAACCGTACAACTTCATCAAAGAAAGTGAATAGGCGCGCATCGATGTTGTGCTAGCATGCTGATCATGGCCTCGATATGCCACATATCTCCGTGTTAGAACAACGGATTCAATTCAAGTATATGTCGGCATTTGTTTGTTTGTGATGGTAAAAAGGCACCTCTTGCATACGGTTATGACGGCATTTCTATTTTTCAGTTTGCGTACGTTGGCATTATCCGCTTCTCTCGGGGGTGTCTGGCGCGTCGTCTGTTCAATTTCTTTAGCTCTTTTTGGTTTCGGCACTGTCTTCGGGGTTGTTTCGCACAAGCTTTGATTGATACCTTCTACACATTCTTCTTCTTGCCCGCCTATGGGTATCGCAACTGTTGAAAGCTTCAGGGTTGGAAATGTATTTCCATTTGACTTAATTTTTGGTTCGATCACCTCTGGCCTTCCGTATGCGCCGAATGTTCCTCGTACGCAGCTAACTTCACGAATCAATGACGCCTCAATGCCGCTGTAGTCTAAAGGCGAGGATTCGGAGTGTCAAAGTCCTGTCGAGATATACGGATCAGCAAAGAATCGCAGCTATCAGTAGTCGATATTAGAGTATAATTTGAATTCGAACAATTCTGCATTGCTCTACCTTGGTTAAGTTTCTACTAAAATTCTCGAGTGTTTCTCCCAGCTAAAAGTCCAAAATTGTGGTAGAGCGACACCACAGACCTGTGTAGAATGGTTGGTAGTTGTGAATATTTAAGCCGAGGTCCAGAGTGAGGAGTATCAACTCTAACCCCAACCACTTTGACTTCATCAGGCCAGAGGCACCACTCTTCCAAAACGATCGAACAGTTGAGGTCACAAGTTTCCTGATACATTGGCTGAGAGTATATACCTTTTATGCCTGTAGAGATACCCCGTTTTGAGGTCAATCGTCCCCTCAATTCGCCCTGGCAGAAGGGCCTCTGCTTCAGACTACCAAGCACTCGCTACTATACTTGGACCTCATTGATGCTCTCATCAACAGAGACTTCATCTAGGCTCTATTGAGACAGAATATCCAGATGGCTGTGCCGTCGCCATCAGCGTCATGCCCCTTCTGCAGCATCGCTGCAGCATATCCTCCCATCCCACCCTCGATATTCCATCCTCAACAGAAACAGGATGGCGCACAAGAATCAGGTACCATCCCCACAGATACGGCGCAGGAACCACATGCACATCTTGTACTTTCGACTCCATATGTCCTGGCCTTTTTGGATATCATGCCCTTGACAAGGGGCCATGTTCTCGTCGTCACGAGAGACCACTACGAGAAGTTGAAGGACATGGACGTTGAAGTCAGCAGAGAGGTCAGTACACCCTCTAACCCCCTCTCTCAGGCTAAAAGAGCAAGTCCTAAAGGATCCGGCCGCGCAGATTGGCCAGTGGCTCCCTATCATCTCGCGGGTCGTGATGAGAACTGTCTTTGGCACAGAGCCAGAATCCGAGTGGAGTTGGAATGTGGTGCAGAATAATGGTACGTCATCTGTCCACTTTGGCTGGTTCGGATTCTCGCTCAAGCATCGAACAGGCATCAGGGCCGCACAGCAGGTGCCTCATGTGCATTTCCATGTCATTCCCAGGCCGCCGTTGGATCCTGCGCCTACTGCAGCCAAAATGAGTTTCGTCATGTTTGGGCGGGGGCAGAGGGATGAACTGGATGATGAGGAGGGAGAGACATTAGCCAAGGCGCTGAGAGAAGAGCTGGCGAAGGAAGTTTGCCGAGTGGAAGAAAAAGAAGGCGTTGATTTGAATTTGGAGGCTACGGATGTGCGTTATCGGAGGATAAAGGGGAGGCTGTGAGGTTGCAGCCTCGTGCTACTGTTCGTTATATCTGTTTTGATGTACGATACCTACGTCGCGTTCTATCTTGTGATGCTCTCAAATGGGACTTGACGTTGGCTCCGATGAGGGGCGTATTATAATCCATTAGGTGACAATGATTGTGAGCTGCCTTCAGATTTGTACACAAGCTTTTATTTCATCGAGATACATCGCTTTCTGTGCCGGATTTAGACTTGGAGTTGGGGTTCTTCATGAAATACTGGACCTCTCTGTTAGTCAAATACTCTCTGCAGATATAGAAAAGACAATGACTGACCTTTCTCCTGAAGGCATTAAGCTCATCGGCATACATCCCCTCTGCATCAGCTTTCCTCCGTCCCACAGAGACGTCTGAGGTCTCTCCTTCCGGGAGTCTGCGGTAAGTGATGAGGCGTCGGGACCCTAAGGCGCCAAATCAGACATGGTGCTATTGAAGTGCGTTATTTCCATGAACTTACAGTTGTTGAACGGCTGTACAGAGACGCACACAACCTCCAAGTTTGGATGCATCGGGATGGCCAATTCCCCTTCCTCGTCGCTGGATGTTGGCATCCACATAGCCAGCCGTCCATTCGTAACTAAGGTTCGCGAGGCGAAGTTGAGGATGTCATTCTGCATGGCCTCAAATCCATAAGGTTTCTTCGGTGCAATGTAGTCCGGCAGCCTGGAGATGCATCAGCCCACCGTTGACCCATACGTCCTTGATGCGAACTTACAGATGAGCTGGAACCCCGTCGATCAAGATCTCTTCCTTCCCACGCCCATCGCGAGACCCCAAAACTCGAAGCCCTTCACGCACACCGTAAGGGGGATCACAAATGATGCCATCTAGGAACTGACTGGAACGGAGAGGCGTATTGGTCAGATCGGAAGTGAAGACATCCATGAATTTGCTTTGAGTGCCGTATTGCTGGAAATTCGACAGTACTCCCATTGGTTTACCCTTCCCCATCTCTTTGCCGCGAAAGCTACGTCCGTCAATGTCTGAGCCGAGAGTCAGCGCGCCAAAGTGCGCAGCAGCAACGCAGAAGCTTCCTGTTCCAACAAATGGATCAAAGAACAGCTTTCCGGGCGCTGCATGAGCCATATTGGCCGTAACTAGGCTCAACTCAGCGTCCATCGATGTGGTGCTGATATACCGACGCTTCTTAAGGTCGTACTTGTTGACGACCTCGCGACTACTATTAGCAACCCAGCGTCCGAAAAAGATCTTCTGCGGAATTTGTAATTCAGCCGGCTGTGTTGTACTTGGTGAGGTCGTCGTCTTTGACGTTGCAACGTCTGGGATGTACTCCTCCAGCACCCAGAAATCCTCATCTGGGTTCTTCATCCGAATGGGACCCTGGAAGTCAAGATAGGCGAACGACTGGATAATGTCTCGTTTCTCTTCATTACTTCGCTTTCCAGCAAAGCTCTCGATGGTAAACCGAAATGATACTTCCTTGTAGTCGCTCCAGCGATGCTGGGTCCGCCTGCGGACGTCGCTGTGAACTTCTTCATAGTTGGTGCCTTGGGCCCAGAGCTCGAAGATATCCTTCGCTAGGATGCTACGATCAATAAGTCCGCGTGCAGCTTCCTCATTTGCCAACTTGACAATGCAATATGGTGACTGCTCTGTCGGTCAGCTGTGCATGTAATGAGATATCGATATATTTCCGTCGAATGATGGAGGCGCGGGGAACAAAAAAAAAATCCAACCTGAACCCCCTCCAAGTTCAATACGATCCGACGTGGAAGGTGAACCGCGGTCAGGGGAAAATGAGAGAAAAGCACCTACAAATTCGTTGTAAGAAATAATCTCGAGGTCGATTTCAGCCAAAGCTGCCAGTGCTTGGATCTCCGGCCGTCGAAAACTTTCGTGCACTTGAGCGAAGCGGATCAAGTATTCCATTGCGATGCAACCAGGCCAGGATGCGGCCTTTGCTTCTGGATAGACGATGTGAGGACAATGAATTACTCCTAAGTTTGCATGAGTATGTAAGGATGAATCCAGACCAGCCTTGGCTGTATGCTGCGTCAAATGGTGATTGCGTCGACTGTGATGACTTCTGTTCGATTCTTCTACTGTTGCCGCGAAACGGAACCTGCTACTATCCGTCCAACCCACACTGCAGGGAATGGGCAGAAAATTGAGGACCATACGCTACAACACCTCTTCTCAGTGCCAAATTTATCTTGATTACTATAAAACAACTTCAATGACCTTAAGCGCTCTATTCTTGGTGAGGGCTCGCTTCTTGCCAGCTCCAGCTCTTATGTCCTTTGTAAAACAGCGAAATAAATGACAAACAAATCCCTAACTGAAGTTGAACTTCAGTATAACCTTGTATAACCTCTGACAGACGACACTGCAAGATGCGAATATTAGAATAAACCCACAGACCTGCGCCATCCCCAACCCGATAGACCGTAACGAAATAACCAGGACAAGACTCCGCCGCTATGCGCCCACAACCTTAAATACATATCGTGAATCATATCCTTCAACACGACTAATCTCAACCTTCTCATCGGGGGGTATCATGTCATGTTTCAAGTCCCAACCGGCCTGACGAGACAACTCGGAGACTACAACATCGCAATCACCCAAGAGGTCAATATCGAAGCACGTATGCGTCACAGGCTACACAATGGGTCAGTTCCAAGGCGAGTAATGTCCATGGGATTGGAGCGTAACGTACAGTACGAGAAATGTAGATCTGAGGGACATGACGTGGGAGAACACCCGGCACTTCAGCCACAGGTGCTACTTTCAACGATGTACCGATCACGATTACCAAGTCTACTTTATCACGGTCATGATGAAGAAGACGACGGCCAAACTCGTCGGGCAAGTCCTCGCCAAAGAATGTAATGTCAGGCTAGATAGCAATTAGCTGTCAGTTGCCATTGGGACCTCAATGATAGCTGACGCTCACCTTCATAACGCCAGGAGTGGGAATCTCGTAATCTTCCTCCTCTGAACTATCCTCGCCGTCCTTCTTCCTGCTCTTCTGCGTTCCGTTGGACAGCCGTTTGCGTTTGAGCCCCTGCGGCTTCAAAGAATCGTCTTCGAGCCTCTCTTTGCAAGCCATGCATTCGGGCACAATGCCTCTTTTGATGTCGTCGAAAATCTCTTCGCCTTTCACTTTGTGACGACACTTGACGCACGTAGCTGTCGCAAAAGAGCCATGACATTGCAGAATTTTCTCCGGCAGAATACCTGCGTTGGCCTCGATGTTGTCGATGTTTTGAGTATAATTGGTCAATAGTTTGCCTTGATCCTGGAGGAGCTTGATGAACGCATGAGTGGGAGAGAATTTCTTCTCCGTGGGCAATATATCCTTCGCGATTGAAAAGAAAATATTTGGATCCTCACGGAACACATGAATATCAAAAACCTCCTGAGGGTCACTTAGCCCCAGGTGTTCTAACTGAGCATAGAGTCCGGTATCTTTCGAGCGAAAATCGGGGATTCCAAGACTCGTGGAGATCTTGCGAAAATTGTCAGTACCAAATTAGCCAAACAGGCACCTTGATCTGAAAACCTACACCTGCGCCAGTCAACACAATGATATTCCTGGATTCCTTGAGCAACCGGACGGCATCGTCAATTGTATTGTACTGAGGAAGCTTCGGCCGCCTCGAGAATTCGCGCGAAATCCCGATCGCAAGAAGAGGGTGATATGCTTCGTCCGGGGCCCCTTCCAGGAAAACTGGAGGCATAATTCCAAACGCAGTACATAACTTTTTCGCGGTGACTGTATCACGAGCGATCGTTTCCTCAACGAATGCAGCCTTTCCGATTTCATGCAGTCGTTCGCGATAAGCTATGGCTTCTTCCAGAGTGCAAGCACCCGGCACTGATCAAGATCATGGTTAGTGAAAAGACACTACTGAAGGCAGTGGCATGTATAAGCCAGGCGCGTAAAGAAGGATCTTACCGCCATCGCGAAGTTGCTCATCCTTCAGTACTTCAATCGCATCTTCGTACAGGGACTGAGCTTCCCATTCCTCACCAGAGTCATCGCTGTCAGTCTCGTACTCGGAATGGGATGTCTCGCCCACCACAGCAGCCTTATCTTCGGCCTTGACCGTCCCTCCCGTCTCCCCGGCTGCCATATCAACGGCTTCCACTTCGACCACCGGATCCTTCAACGACGCGCTTTCCCTGCCGGGCACTGATATTACGTCCATCCTGAATAAAGATTGGACACTTCCAGCTGCCTCTATGAAGGACCTTCACTCACATTGAGCTTTTTGCCACTCAAGTCGATCGCTGGGATAAATTTGGTTCTGGGTATCTCTGGGTAATGCGGTCGGAGTGGACTTAATCCGATTCCGACTCCGATATTGAGTGACAAAGAAGTCAGGGATTATTGATATAGCAAACAGTTGAGGCTGGCGTTTACTGGTCCAAGGCTGGTCCACTACAGACTTGGGTAATTGTCGAACAAACACTGCCATTTCTACGGAAACCCCCTTTTGTTAACGGAGACAAATGCAGTGTGTCTTCTGTGCATTGATAAAATCATCTCTATTGGTATCATGACAGATATTCATCAAACATATATGACTTGTAACTTTTTCTCAATCCGCCATCTCGTGGTCTTCATCTGACTCGCCCTCAATCTCATCTTCCCAATCCCCTTCCTCCCCTTCGGCATCCTCTGCGTTGCTGTCATCTTCCATATCCTCGCCTATTTCTTTGTTCATCTCTTCAACCAGCTCAAGAGCATGCTCCTTGAGTCTTTCATCTTCATACTGGACCAGGTCGTAGAGGGTCAAACTCTGTTTCAACCACTCGCGACTGGCCACAAGGGAAGCTACTCGCTGTGACTCGGGCGATGCTTCTGCTTCTGCGTCCTTTGGCGCCTGTCGCTTTTCCGCGAGAAGATAAAGACACCAACCACCCAGGTACCATGCTTCCACGCTCTGATCATCTTCCAGGATCAAACGTTCCAAGACTTCGAGTGCTTCCAATTCCATTGCAACCTCCATAAGTAGACGCGCAAGACTGACTCGAGTTGCAAACTCCGGAACCTTTGGATCTTCAGGAGGCAAGTCTTTCCATAGCTCAAGACTTCGGGAGAGTGCGGCTCGGGCATCATCTTGTCGTAATTGGGATATCCTGATAGATGCTAGTGTCTGGAGGACTTCAGGCGCTTGAGGATCAACCAAGAGAGCTTCCGTTATGAGAGATTCGCACTGGTTTTCGGCATCTTCTTCCCAACTGGAGGCTGTCAGATTATTCCAAGAATGAATATGTTTGGGTGTAATGCTACTCACGAGAGATCTGTCATGTAGATTTCAGCTACTCCGCAGAGTGCGTTCGCCATCTTCTTCTTCTTTTCTGCCAACTCAGCAGCAGCCTGGGGATCCTGCTTTTCCTCCAACTGCTGGATGATTGTTCTTAGAGCCGAGACACCTTTCTCAAACCACTTGACGCTATCCTTCCCTCCCGCTTCGCTCAATTGAGCCAGCCATAAAAACTTCTCAGCACCACCCCCATCAGACTCGGGTATTGTGCCATTCGGGTCGAGCTCCACCGTACGTAAAAAGCATTCTCTCGCAGCATTGATATCCCCGAGTTCGACGTGAATCTCGCCAATAGTGTTGAGGGCTAATAGTTGACTGGGGGAATTGGCGGGCGCAGAACTGAAAGCCTGCTGAGCTGCTGCAAGCGCAGCATCTGGTTGTCCCGTTTGAAGTAAGACGACCGCTTGCTCAAGGAGTGTCGCAGGATCCTCGTTCATTTTCTGTTTGGATACTGAACCGCCAGCTCGGAGAACGGACTTTTCGCGCGATTTCGCAGCCTTTTTCTTGTGAGGTCTAGATTTGCCCATGGTATCTTATTGGACTGGTATGTCTTAAACGTACTGTAGAATTCTTTGAGAATAGAAGATGTCAGTTCAAATTATATAGATTATCATAACAAGTATCCAACAGCGTGGGCTCTGTCGAGTTTGTATTTCAGATAGGCGGAGAAGCATTGGAATTATTCCCTTTTTTGGATGAAATAATTTTGGTCGTTTCTTATCTGTTTGCCTCGTTTGCATGCGGGACCGCAAGATCAGTCTATGGGCATTCCTGCGCATCCAAGCTTGAGAATAGCTGTCAAATGAGTATACTTAAGTCTTTGGGGTCAGGACTCTTGTAGTAATTCGAACGTCCGAGTGTTTGCACTTCTGTCCTTACTGTGCATCTGTCTGCGAAAACCTACTCGCAATACCCCACCAACAACTAGCACGTTTGAAGCAGAATGGGCCGTGAAGAGCAGGTCGAGGAGCGCGAGGTGCTTGACTCCATTTTTCCGGAAGAGATTACAGGTTGGGCTTCAGCTGTCTTGATTCGCAGTTGCGATCTTGAATGCACTCAGCTGCTAATGGTGAATTGACACTCAGATATTTCGGACACCGCATACCGGATATCGATTAATTTAGAGACGCCCGAAAATGACGTCCGAGATGAGGAAGAAACCGAGCAGCCAGTCCTGATTCTTCAGGTGTCATACCCACCAGAATATCCCGACGTTGCCCCGGACCTTGACATCTCGGCCCCTCCAAATGCACCCAAGCACCCTCTGCTAGACATCCAGGAAGATCGTGCTCGGCTCCTTGAAGCCTTACAGGCAACTATCGAGGAAAACTTGGGAATGGCTATGGTCTTCACTCTGGTCAGCACTTTGAAAGAAAGTGCCGAACTACTCATGGCTGAACGGGCGAACGCTGTCCAGGCGCTGAAGGAGATGGAAGCTGCGAAGGCAGAAGAGGAGGAGAATCGGAAATTCCAGGGCACGGCGGTGACTCCTGAAACATTTTTAGAGTGGCGAGAGAGGTTCAGAAAAGAAATGGACGAGAAGGAGCAGAAGGAGCGTGAGGAGAAAGAGGCGGACGAAAAGAGGCCAAAGAAGACACCGGTCAAAGAAGAGAAGCTTACTGGCAAGCAATTATGGGAGAGGGGTTTGGCAGGGAAAGCAGACTATGATGAGGACGATGAGGATGCTATTCCAACCGCTGTTGAGAAGATGAAAATAACCGCATAAAGAGGTGCTTTGTCTTAACAGAGTGCTGGTATATCTGGATTGATTTTGCTCCAGCATTCACCTGTACATATCTGGATCTAACATTAAATACACTTGCTGCGAGTAGCGCTGGACACTGAGAAGATCACGCATGTGATAACCTCACCGATGACTTTGTAGATGGTTGAAGTATTCCACCTATAGGCACCGTGGTATCCGTATAATTCGTACCATGTCCTAATTGAGCTAATCTCGCTGTCCCCCAGGACGAAAGGTATGATTGGACCCGGGATAGACTGGCTGATCAAAAACATCCCATTTAGATGCTTGCTCATACCGCAAGCTGCAACAAGGGTAGTAGAGCTGGTTGTCTTTAGTCTCTCTAAGGATTGACCACCCGATTTTCATGTTCAAAACACTTAGAAAGACGTACTAAACGCCCGCATCAAGTATTATGGGGATGAAATTGTTGGCCCACATTTACCCCTCAGCATCACAGGCATTTCGATGCTGTTGGAATTCTCGCACAAGCGAGCTGCTCGGCGACCAACGGTCAGCTGTGCTCCCTGCAGCAGAACGAGACGGCAATCTCTCGTATAGTACGATAGGTTATGGAGCTTCGCAGAGCGCAAACTTCACAACATGAGGAGTGGCTTGGAAGAAAAGAAGACCGCCTTTTTGATACAACCCTTCATCCTTGGGTTGACCCCTGTGTTTCTTCTTCCGCAGCCAATTTGCGCTCCGCAAGGACGACTTGCCACATCGCCTCGGCAAGCTCCTTATTCTTTAAATCTGACTCCTTTAGCTGCGTATTCACCTCGGTCAAAGCTTTCTTGATTTCGGCAGACCATGTCTCTGTCTCTGGCCGACCAAGAGTCAACTGATCCCACTCATCCTCGTCCTTGGCGAATAATATTTCAACACCGAGCTTTTCCCGGCGCTCTATCCGACGCCAGCGCTTATCGAGTTTTGTCCGAATGACTCCGCTCAAATTTTTGGGCTGGGGCTTCTTGATGCGCAGGAATGGGATTCCCCGTGCGCTGACGAGCACAGGGACCCGGCGTCTTCCATTCACCATGGGTCGGGGCCGGGAAAGGATAGGGGTGGCGTCTGGATGCCTTCGGGCAGTCATTTCTTGAAAGCGCCTCGATTCTTCTTTCTTGAGTTCTCTCTTGGATAAAGGCCTTGGTTGAACCGTGCTAGCTAATGCTTTGTGGAACTCAGTGGTCTGTTTTTTAATCAATTGGCTCTCCAGAACTAGTGTCGCAATACGGTGGCGGTCATGTTCATTGCCCTGAGACGCTGAATGTAGTAAGTCGAGAGCCTGGCAGATTGAACGGATAGTGTTAGTCGTAATGAAACGGAAGATGACACTGAGTGACTGAGAGCCGTACCTCATATCCAGCTTTCAGGGCATTGACAGTCTGTGACGGACTTTGAAGATTCTTGTACTTATGGAACTTTTGCTGGATTAGCGACTTGGATGGCTGGAGCTCAGGTACTGCACCTGGCAATCTGCTGCACTGGCGGAGCAGTGCTCGATACAGTGCCAGACCTGGAGACGACTAGTTAGCATGTGCCTCTCAATAATAAAATCTTCTAATATAATACTCACAAGCATATCGATGCGTCCCGGAGGATTTTGGGACGATGAGTCGATGCATAGCTTGATCAATTTGACACAAAATAATGATTTGCTTTCTTTTAATCTCCAGAACATGTGATTATGGACAAAATAATGATGTATACGAAGATCACGTGATTGGTATCGAGCTATATACCTTAGGTACATCCGGATATCGTTACATATCTGGAAGATCCCTTTTATCTATCAGTGTACTTTCCACCTATTATCCAGCCATCTTGTCTGGGAGTCGTCGTTACGCTCTCAATCGCATTTTCCTCCTCATGGCTGACATTCGAAAGCATGTCTGGTCCCATTGTCTAGGTCTATATAGGTTGGACGCAAATAACCGCTGACTGAAATATTAAATATGAAGCCGCATTACTCTCATAGTCGCTGTTACCAGGTTAGAGTCAGATATAAACTCTGGCACGTTTCGCTTTTTGATTGCCTGAAAAATGGGCTTCTAACGAAACCACGCCAATACCTGCTGATATGCATAGACTGTACACGCTCTAGAACTCAATGTGGCAAGGAGAGAGACCTAACGTAAGAACCGACCTGTTACTCCAATGATCATTGTCTGATCCATGTACAAGGAGATAGACTCAGAAGTTGGTGCCTTCTGGGGGCTGGGGAAGCTTCTTGTGTTGCGGTAGGGCCATGTATCTAAGCGATTGGTTAGCCGACTCGGAAGGTGAATGAAAGGTCGAATACTCGCCTTCTGATCTCAAGTAGGATCGTCTCCATGGTATATTCCCGTTTCCACTGGGCTAGACAGGGAAGTTTGTCGGGATCGACCTAAGCGACAATTAGGGGATATCCTTATTGATTGAGAAGCAGTAGGCCAAGGTTCATACTTTTCCCGTTTTCTGGTCGACGCATGGGATGTTGACGCGTGAAATGAATTGGATAGTTGGGGGTTTATCAGGATAGTCAGGACCGCAATGGATCTGGACACTGTATATCCGATTCTCGTGGACGCTCTAATTTCCTTAGATCAGCTGGCTTGTAGGTTTGACGATCGGAAGAGAGGACGAACATGGGGTGGGCCAAGAATGGTGCCGTTCCAATTGCTCATCATCATATCCTCGCCATCCGCAAGACCGTAGGAGCACGCCTCTAAATTGGAGAGCATCATGATATCAGTGGGGTGATGCGTCATGAGAGACTGGTCGCATGCTCACCTGCTCCCAAGCCCTTCTCTCCCTTTTCAAGCTCCTCAAGAAGCCTAAAGTTTCTTGGAATCTTTGCGGCCATTGCAGTGACAGTTGTTGAAGACGGGACAATACGAGTTATTTACTCGGACAAAAAGTTGTTGGAGAGAGCGAGGTTATCCTACCTTATCAAGGCGGGAGGAAGAGGGGCACTCTGAAATGCACCACTTATTTTGGTTAGCCTGCGTGCCTGAGGTAACTGTCACTGCTGCCTTGATTTCAAGAAGAGTCATCTCACGTGATGATAACGCCAGCCACTTGTATCACGTGGGGTCGGCGTATCCACTGACGTCTTGGCATTCCCTGTAGAAGCCACCTAGTACCAGATAGAGCTATCTATCACAGTAACGGTGTATGTGGATCGACACGATTGCATTATCTTTGCTGAGTGGCTGCAACACAATTATCTTTCCCTCTACTCCTTGACGACTCATGGCTGTTATTTGGGAAGTAACGCGCTGAGTTCTGGTTCGGGTGTGGAATTTCTTAGTCTCCTGACAATCCACTAAATGCTCCATGAACGAATAACAGCCAACACCTGATCACCAGTAGGGAGAAAAGTCAAGGAGATATTCCTCGGACTGGCAGCGTTGGGCATGGTGCGACTGTACACACTGATCGGAAATGTCCTCACAGTTCTTGCAAACAGAACTCTTGAATCTGATTCAGGAGTCCAAACGGAAGAATTCTGACTTGCGAAATGTTTGCTTCCCATCTATTGAAGGAAGTTTCATGAAACTCACGCTTACTGACTGCCTAGGCTGCCGAGGAGTCACTGAATGATTTGAAGGCGTTGCCTTCAACTTCCGAGGCTCAGATATCTGCTGGTGGGTGTCAAGCAATGCCATACGCCGCCCTTGTTGCTGCTTGGGAAGATTACTGAGTACCCAAGAGATCTTGTGCGCAAACTTAGATTTGTCGATCCCTTCATCTTAGCTTGTCATAGTCGACATGCAAAGCTTGCCGGAATCGGAGTTGTCTGCTTGCAGAGACTTGTGGCTTCGCGGTCTCTACCTTCTGAGAGGCTGAAGGATGTCCTTGGAGGGTTGAAAGAGTCAACTAGCCTGAGTAAGCATTCATAGCTGATAGTCCTTCAAATCACTAACTCATCCAGGTCTGGATATCCAACTCAAAATTTTGCAGTCTCTGCCCTCACTTTTGCAGCATTATTCCAATGACCTAGGAGGAGAGCTTCTTGCAAGTACATTAGAGATATGCGCTACGTTGCAAGCAAGCAAAACCCTTGCCGTATCTAGCACAGCAGCGGCCACACTACAGCAGTTAGTAGTCTCGACATTCGAACGAGTTGCTGAAGAAGACAGTTAGAATTTACCTTTGTTTGGCCTGGCTTTCTATGTCTGCTGACTTATCTTCAGAAACTCTCAATGAAAGCAAGCCACGAGTGAGTATCAAGCTTGAAGCTGACTCTGTGAACATCGGATACTCTGCATACGATGCATTGCGGGTAAGCATCAGACTCCTGCGTATTCGGACTTAATTGACATAGCGCATAAAGGTCTTGGATGATCTGTGCCGGCTTGTAGATGGCGAGCAATTGCATTTTCTGCGTATCAAGTCACTTTCTCAAACATTCACATTGGAACTCATTGAGAGCGTTCTCACTAACAGCGGACACTTATTTATTGGTCATGCGGAGCTCACGCATGTCTTGCGGACTCGGCTCATGCCAATGACAGTCAGGTACCTCTCTGAGAGGCACGGCTTTGCCCTTACCAGTCGCGTTGCTCGGATTCTTCTTATACTTCTCAAGCGTCACATGTCCCTTCTGACAGCGGAATGCGAGATGGCTCTTGGGTTGCTGACTCACCTTCTCGAACCTGATGGAACGTCGCCTTGGAAAAGAGTACTCTGTATGGAAGTTTTCAGAGGACTTTATGCCGAGCCGGGGCTAGTTCGGCTCATTTATTCTCTTTATGACGGAGAAGACAACAGGAAGAATATTCTCAGGGATCACATGGCCGCTCTCGTTCGTCTAGCGTCTGAGAAGCCTTCGTTAATTGGAGTCAGCAGTCGTTCAACTGTACCCCTGCGAGCTGAACATGCACGATCCATAACAGAAGAGCAGATAACACTTGAAGCCGGCGGAGTTGCTGGGGTTATCGGGGCCACTGGCCCTTCTACTGAGACTAGTTTCCAGGGAATTAGCAGTCAGTGGAGCACAGTCCGCACGCCGTACATCGAACTGCTGGACAAGACTGATCCGCCATCTCCTCCTGAAACATACATCTACAACCTAGTGCTCAATTGTATTACCTCATTTGCAGAAGGGCTGGCGAAATTCATACTTCCATTAACTGTCCCAGACCCAAAGCAGAAGCGGAGAAGTCGGATTACGAGCCCCGACAAATGCATTTCTACTGGGCCTTCACATGATCTTCAGAGGATGGATTCCGGCAAAACTATACACAGATCGAATTCCAAGAAACTCGCGATGCCCCTTAATCCCTTGGACCTAGATTCTCACCCTCAATTGACCGCAATCAAGGCCTGCGCCGGCATCATTGAGAATTGCTGGCCTGCTATACTTGCAACCTGTTCCACATTTCTCTACGCTTCGCTGGATGAAGAATACTATCACAACCTTGTTCGATCTTTCCAGAAGCTCGCTCATGTTGCCGGCCTTCTCAGACTGTCCGTTCCGCGGGACGCTTTTTTAACTACTCTAGCGAAGGCTACAATGCCAGCTGATGTGGCTGGTGCTTCGACTGCAGCCGCCGTCTCAGATTCTCACAGCATTACCGCTATGGATGAAAAACGCAAGGGCGGCGCGGTGACACTTGTTAGCTCCCCATTTCCTGCGAACGGCCCGAAAGCATCTGCGGACATTGCTTCCTTGTCACTAAGCACTAGAAATCTTCTGTGTCTGCGTGCTCTCTTGAATCTGGGGATTGCCCTCGGTCCCACTTTAGACCAGCCGGCCTGGTCGATCATTCTGGAAACGCTGCAGAATGTAGACTTACTCATCGGCATGGCCTCCAGCAAAACAAATAACTCTATTAATAATGCGGGAGATGTGTCAGGCGATATGTCTAAAGCCAGCTTCGGGGCAGAAATTACAGCTGTCCAAGCAGCCTCTGCCAAGTTGTTCGAGAGCACTGGTGACTACCCGAGCGATTCGTTTGACGGTTTGCTGATTGCTCTCCTTGCCCTCTCCGGCATGACTGAGGAACCAGTTAAGGATGGGCCATCTGACTCGTCACCGTCGCAAAAGCGCATCGGTCGGGCACGGAGGAAAAACCGGGGTGTGTCCTCTGTGGTCGAAAAGTCCAGAGTGCGGGATGAAGAACTGAAGTTTGTCTTGGACAAAGCAAAAGAGCTTGCCCAAGCAAACCTTGAACGCTTGTCGTCGTTGGTCGACTCCGACCGTGGCGTCTGGCAGCTGCTCACTGAGAGTTTGATTGCCACCGCCGCGAACTCAGAGATAAGCCAGAGACTTCGTCTAAAAGCGAATGGTGTACTCAGCTATGTCGTATTTGAGACTATGAAACAGAGAGACAATGCTGATGATTCAGTCCGAAACGCACGTCATTTCAGAAACCTGGAAACTCTGAACATGCAAGTCTCCACGCTTTATTCGGTTAACGCTTCCATGCCAGGGTTACCACCATCTACCTCCGTCATAGAGATTCATGAGCAGAGTCTGGAGACATTGAAGAGTATCCTGGAGCAGTATGCAGAGTCTTTCAATGATGCATGGACGCTTGTCTTCAGTCTGATCTCCAGTGTTTTCGGAGACGTAATCAACGGCGAGAGTGCGACAGTGGCAGATGATACCTCTAGCAGGGCGCGTGACACACGCTCGGTAGCCAATTCGCCTCGGCTCGTTCGTGCGGCATACAAATCTCTGCAGTTAGTCGCTTCTGATTTTATCGCTCTCTTGCCACGCCAATGTCGGTTGGACCTCGTGAACTCATTGTCCCGTTTCGCTTTACAGCAAGAGGACTTCAATATCTCATTGACAACGACATCATCTTTCTGGAATGTCTCTGATTTTCTGCAAGGGCAAATCGAGGAATTCTGCATTGAGTCGCATGTTGAATTATCAGTCAGCGAGGAGACACTTTCGACTCTTGCAAGAGGTGATGAGCCCTCAGTCTCACGAAATGCCCTGTGGCTGCTGCTTCTTCTTCGGATTGTAAGCCTTGCGAGGGATAGCAGGCTGGAGATCCGAAACTGCGCGATTCAAACACTTCTAAGGATTTTTGATGCGTACGGGCAACAACTTTCACCCAAGGCATGGCGTCTGTGCCTGAATCGTGTTTTGTTCCTAATGGTTGAGGCCATCGAACTTGAACTCTCAAATTCTCGGACAGCGGAGAAGGCCAGGAGGTCTGAGGTGCTTCAGTCTTGGATAGAAACAGCAGTTGTCACGATCAAGGGGTTTTCCAATCTGATAACTACATTTTTTGAGCCTATTGTCGGAGACGCTGCCTTTGACGCTTCCTGGGAACGACTCCTGGGATATTTCCACAAGCTTATCAGCTCGAACTTTTTGGAGCTAAGTGAAGCAGTATTCTCTAGTCTGGCAAACATCCTTCTTCGTGCACAGACGACAGATGATATGAGCAAGAAGGCTCTCGAACTCGCTTGGTCGCTGTGGGTTGCTGGCCATCCTGCTTGTAAGGAGGACATGATTGACCTCGAACGCCCAAATCAGGAGGCATCATCTGCATACTTGCAGACATTTCAGCAGTTGTATCATCTCTATAAGAACGATTTAGGAGACGATCATATTGAGCATATTCTCCTTCATTTGCGCCTCCTCGCTTGGAACTCCATCTCCCCTCGTTATTCGCCGGATGTGGATCGGGTTTCGGATCTACAAGCAATTATCATCGAGTGTGTGAAATTGCTGTGTTCAGACAAGCCGGGGGCTCAGCCAAAGATCGTTTTCTGTCTCGCTGACTTCGTCGATTCCGCATTGACAAAATGGTCCCCAGATTCTGATCCGAGAAGGCCAACTTTTGTTGCGTTCTCGAAAAGCGCGGTAGAGCTCCTGGGCTGGTATATTGCTGTCTTCGGTATCAAGAAAGATATCTTCTCCAATGGCTCTCTAACCTCCGCCTTAGAGCATCTTGGGAACCCAATTGTTCAAAGATACGAGTGGGCAGGAAAAGACCGAGATCCCAGTTTATGGCAGAAATCGACCACTGCAGTGCTGGATATTCTCTATGTAGCGGTTCCATACGTCGAAAAGCAATACGAAAACGCAAATTTGGAAGAGATATCGCGGTTCTGGAAGTGTGTGGTAGACATTGCGAACGGCATTGCCTCTGCGAAAGGTTATCGAAACGGTTCAATCCCTCCAGCAAAAATCCACGCAGACGAAACCTTCGACATCGATGCTATGAACAAGCTCAAGTCGATCATCATTCCATCTCTAGGCGCATCCATCATTCCAGAGGATATACGACGCCAATTTGCACGTACGATATTTGACTCATCTTTCATATACCAACAACAGCGTTTTGGTGCTCCTATCAAGTATTCGGAGAAGGAGCCTTTGGAGGGCATATACGATATCCGGCCTGGCCGAACCTTTGATCCACCGTCAACCCCACGCGCTCGGATGGCATACGTTCTACTCAACACACTATTTGAGCTCGCATCAGCCCCCCAGCCTGAAATCTCGCCGAGCAATGACGATACATCCAGACAAAAGACAACCAATCCGGAGCAAACGGCAGCCCGCGTTCTACTCTCACGCTCTGTCTCCCCGTATCTCATACTCCGATGCGCCGTATCCCTGAAGGCATACATCGCGGATCAGCCACTCCGCGGACTCATGCCCCAGCCCACGCCGGCACGCAAGGCGCTTCTACATCTTCTCCGCGGCATGATCGATTTGCGGAGCGAACCAACTGCCATTCCTGCTCCGCCTATAATCAGGACAGTGGTCATGTCATCCGGCGACTCATGCCAGGCTGGAAATGAACATCACAAGAAACATCTAGAATGGATATATCCACTCGTTGTGAAGGCGGTGCAGGTCGCTGGGAGGGAAAAAGATGACGGAGAGGTTCTCCAAGTTCTTGGAGCGGTTTTAGATCGGGTCGGCAACGATATTTAATTTGTATACTTTGCATTTTACGCTGTGGATCATTCCAAATATATCTCAATCGGGCATAGTTTAAGAGATAAGCATTTGCGGAAAGCGAGTGTTGCATTCTCAAACCTCATTGGGCACATAGAGCTACTTTATTTAAAGAATAAATCATTGACCGTCACCTACAGGGTCAGTTTATCTGATGGCAAGGATTCATAATAAGCACAAGGTACGGATATAGAGTCAAATAGGGTATATGTACGGAGCAGAAAATGTCGCCAAATCTCAACAACTTCCATGAAATAGAAATGTTAAGCGAGACGCCATGCGACATACTCGGCCTACTAACTAAGCGGCAGGGGCGGATACTTTCTGAGTGTGATATGATTCGCGTCCAGGCCCGGCGGTTGCTGAGCCTTCTGGTAGGGGCTGTTGCAGCTTCTGTTGCTGAAGAAGCTGCTGCTGCTGGATCTGTTGCTGTTGAGCGATTTGAGGGGTGGCTGCGAACTCGGGAGCTTGTCTGTACAGAGTAATCTCGGACTGCTTGAAGTACCGACGGGCATCTGGACAAAAGGTGTTCAAGTCAGTACGTTGTCAAAACGCAGGGCGGTGCAAAAACAGAGCAAAACAGCTGTGTTTCGAAACAAAAACGTATGAAATGACGAAAACCGGGGGCCTAGTGGGGCCGCCACGCGAGTTGTATCAACCAAGTGTGGCTTAGCGTGGGGGGTTTTGCCGTTCGGAGAGAAACTTCAGAGTCAGCCGGCCCGAATGACCACCATGACTGGTCTGAGGTGGTTTCAATAGCCGACCGGCTATTGAAATGTCCAGTGGGATGCCGTGGGATATTATTGGGCAGTGTGAACATATGGAATCCTCAGGTACCAATGCAGGTAGCAAACAACGCCGCGATAATGGTCATGCGCTTTCCAAGTCGCACGGACTGCGAGTTGCTTCGCCAGAGAAATCGATCGGGCAGATTCCGTGCCAATGAAGAGAACATTCGAACGAACAAGTGCTTTTTTGTTCTGCTTACCTTCATCGATCAACACCAGGCTCAGATAGTATCTTGTGGAGTACTTTTTGTTGACATCACGGAAGGTGGGCGTCAGATCGAACCCACCAAGGAACAGACGAATAGGAATTGTCTCGCCTGGCCATGATCAGCAGAAAGATCTTTCCATTTCAACAACGTATATTGCTTTTTGTGGGGTGCGAGCAGTGTGACATGAAGCAATTTCAGTCGGATGCGACTCACCTCGCGAAGGCGACCCGTCCATGATCTATCAGAAGAACAACGTCAGCAAACATCCTCTGTGTTGTGCCAAAACAACGGGCCGACCTACCTCGAATCGTACCAACGTCTCGCTCTCGTTGTACTGATTTGGAGGAGAACCCGTCGTCTCACGTCGAATTATGGATAGTTCCATGTGTTTGATCTTCAGCCGCACGAGGAGGAAATAGATACGCCCCACGATGACATCTTTCAGGTGATACTTGGATTTGGAGTATTCAAACTCAATATGCAGGCAGTCTTCGATACCGACATCCATCTTGATTGGGCTGTTGGTCTCCGGGGGCATGCGATAAGAGTAGACCCAGAGATCCTTCTCGCGAATCACATCTGCCATCCGCCTCGAGACCGTCACCCGAACAAAGTACCGCAGCTTCACATTGATACCATTGTATGATTCGTATTGTTTCTCAACATTCTTGAAGTTGAAGGGGAAGGTCTGTGGGTGTTGCAGCTCTCCGGGAGCTGCGAGTTCCTGCACTAGCGAGAGAAATTCGTAATGGTTGCCTCGATCGTAGAACATCTCTGCTCGGCAAAATGCTTGGTCAGTTCAAATCTCAACCACCAGTGGCAGTAAGTGCTGCAATCTTCGAACGGGCAGGCTCCCATACCGATCGTGCCAATGAATTGCACCTTGATGCCTGTGTGTTCTAATCGCTTCCCATCCTTTGGTCGAACCGTAACAGCACCCTTCACCGACTCCCCATCCATGTAAAGGGGGACTCGCTCGCGGCGGCCCTTATCGAGCTTCACGTCGACAGTCTGGCGTTCATCGCTGTCTTCGAGCACGACGTCAATGTCGACGGGAGTGGAGAAGAAGAGAGAAGTCATTTCGGAGGCCGGCTGGCAGGGTTTAGGAAGGTTAAACCAGATTGGAATTCGTGCGCACGTCAAGTTCTTGCAGTCAAATCAGATAGGATCACACAATTGCCATGCCGCTTAGGTTCGCTCAAGCTTCCATCTGGGTTGGTGACCGCAGAAGGCGATGATCCACGACTGCCTGACGGTTAGCCCGTCATATGGTGATTACGTAATATCCGGGCATCGTAGTAGACGTTATTCCATCAACAGTTGCGTCTGCATATGCGGAATTCGTAGATTAACAGTTGAACACATACGAGTCACTTTCCCCATGGCTTAGAAAATATGAAGCAACTCGACATCTTCAGTGCTAGGAGCAGTTGTAACATACTACTATGTTGTTACGCGCTACAGATGCTGACCAATGGACTGCATACTTCCTCATGTCATGTCCGTGCTAAAAATTGGCTAAAGAGCAATGCTCTGGATACCCACCCATCTTGAATCAGGGTCCAGGATGGAGAATAATGGGTGCAGTGTACCATCTCTTGAGTAGGTCAAAATACAGACGTATGAGTCCCTAGGTATCAGTATTGCTACCGCACCCCGCCATTCGTCGCGAAATATATTTTTGCAAAATAGAGGGCAAAGATACTACAACTAATATTCAAAGCGGGTTTCAGTACGACCTGGAACCTTCGAACATGGGAGACGCGGAAAATAATGCAGTTTTCGACAGGTTCGACACGTCTTTGTCCTGAGCTTGACTGGAGGAACGGATTTGGGCAGAAATTCGCCAGCCTACCAGTAAGGCAACTGGAAACACATTTCCGGAGCCCTTGTGTCCCGAAACATATCGTCCTCTGAGGCTGAGACCCAAGTCTCGTGATACCCGCCAAGTTCCAAGTTCCAACAAGGTTTGGATAAATACGGGAGTCCTCAATGTAGGAACTTGAAGATGTTGGCCAGCGAATTGTTTGCATGCAAGCTGGCGGGTTTCCCCGGATTGAGCCACGTCCCCCTGCAAGCCACAAGGACCCAAGATCAATCAATTAGGCGGTGGGCCACATGGCCGGCACTGCTGTTCAAACCATCTTTGACTTTTGAGTGGTGGAGTGTCGACGCTCAACAGTTTGAAGAAATGGCGGTATCGGACTTTCAGGTTCGCTCTTTTGTTGTTTGGAAAATGATTGTCTGCTGAGCGCCTATCAGGATGAGATGCCAAACTACCTCCTGAAGTGCGGAGTACTAGTCCGTCCATAATGCACTTATTATCGTTTGCTCCTTGTTCCTTTTGTCCACGGGATCAAACATTGGCACATTGAAGTGTTGTACAGCCATGCTGTATCGTCAGGGATGAGTTAGAAATGAACGAGCAACACATTACGCAGTGTAGCTAGGGATAGATACTTGCACTTTGATTGAATCATCCCACTTTTGTTGTTGATGGTATTGAAGATCTCGCAGAGTGCGTGGGGGAGTATTTCCGATTACAGAGTTAATACTAGGTGTACTCCATTCGTTCTTACCATTACTTGCAATCAGTATCGATCAACTTCTGGTCAGTAGACGGATAATAGATAGATATTATGTAGAGGGGTCTGTCAGGCCGCGCTACCTTATTCCCGTCAGCCCATACTAGCCACAGCATCCTGGTGTCTGGTCCCCGGCGATCATTTTTGAGTACTTCCTGAGAGTCTTGTCCACATTCCCCGTCCTTTGAAGTTTGAACTTTATAGTCTTCCGTTAGATAGAAGGGAATAATAAATGAAAATAACACGGGAAAATTGCTTCGCCCTGTACATAGCACACCCATTCTGGTATAGCGTGGGGGCTTTTTATGATGAGTGTTTGTAACTCACTTGTAATCGTATTATTGGCTGTATCAGTCCCGGATCCCCGGTGCAGGACAACCTTCTTTTTACCCGTGACATCATGAAAAGATGGGATGACACGGGGACGTAATTTCGTACGTATTTGATGCTCATCCAAAAGATACAGTGTAACAATTGGTGTATGGCGATATACAACCTGCTCTGCTGCTTCAAATTTTTGGAATTATTTCAGATGGTACCTTTCTTTCTATTTCCATTCTGCAATGGTGAGCCTCTTCAAATAGCTAGGATAAGAAACCGATCTCCCACTAACGCCCGAGCTGGCGGAACCTCCTATCTTCTCGAAAGTCCCCCACCTGTCGAATGTTTCGCTGTTTTCGCGATTTCCCCCCACTGAGCTGTAATCTATACTTTGTACTCTGTACGGAGTAAGGCACCTTAAGATTAGGCTATGGAGAAACCAAATAGAAGTTGTTCAGACTTTCCAAATAAAAGTCGTCGGAAATTTCCCGTTACGTCTGTATGATTCGATATTTTTGAAACTTCAACTTGAAAGAAAACAATAGGTCAAGATTCCCTACAGGATCGGCTTTCGACATGAGAGTCCCCACAGACCCAGGTTTCATACTTAATATCCGCCTGCTGGATTTCTTCCTTTTTATTTAGCCATTACTCCCTTGTCCCTTCTCTTATTCCCCTTATAACTTGCATGAAAGATACTGGTATTACCTTTGATTGCAATCGCTGTTCAACAACCCGGTTTGCTGCATTTCACCTAGTTCTAAGCACTCAAGACACAAAAGCGTCGCCTTTTATATACATCCACTAACTTCAACAACATTCACAAAAGTTGGTTGAACCATCCGGCACCGCCCACCGAATTCCGTGTATCACTAGAGCGTCATAGTCTTTGTTCACTCCGCGGCTCTCTTGTGCCGTTGTTTTCTCTTTTCTGTTTGAGCCGTACTCCTTTGTTGTACACACTATGCTCTCTGCTGGGGAAAGGCCTCAACCGCCTATAAATACCAATGCGGTTGTAGATGCCTCTCGGACGCCAGTCACCAAAGTTTCTCTGAATCACAACTCGGCCACCTCAATGCGGTCAGAGACATCCAAAGCCGAGAATATCCAACATATCTGGGTCGTCACTGGGCCTGCAGGATGCGGGAAAAGTACCGTTGGACGGATACTGCAGAAGGAGCTGGGTCTGCCCTTCCTCGAAGGAGATGATGTAAGTACTTCTCATCCCCCGGATATTCTATCTACGGCCTTTTGCAAAATGCGCAAATCGAACTAACAGGCACCCATCTAGTTCCACTCACAAACCAACCGGGAGAAAATGGGCAATGGCATCCCTCTAACCGACGAGGACCGTTGGGACTGGCTCATCTCCTTGCGCAAAGCCGCCATCGAGGCTCTCTCCCCTTCGCAAGCCAACAACTTCCACCCTCCGTCCGGCGTCGTAGTTGCCTGCTCCGCCCTCAAGCAGAAATATCGAGACGTCATGCGCGTCGCCGCCTACGGCTCCCCCTCCGTCCAGATCCACTTCATTTATCTCAAGCTGGACAAGGACGTCCTGATCGAGCGCGTCAAGCAGCGTGATCCCTCCCACTATATGAAGAGCGGCATGGTCCACTCGCAATTACAGGCTCTCGAGGAACCCCAGGGCGAATGGGATGCGCTGACCGTCAACGCCGATGGTCCCCGGGAGGAGGTTCAGAAGACGGTTCTTCAGTTGGTGTCGGAGAAGCTGGCGGAGTACCAGTAACCGGGTTTTCTGAGTCTGCGTGCTTTATGATTTTACTGCTTTTTGGCTGGGTTCAATTACACGGATTGCATGGATCCCTTGCGCCGTCAGGTGTCTTTGGAGTTTTAGAGCTGCCTACTCATGCTTTTGGAAGCATCATGATCTGTCCTTGTCTACGGAGTCTGCATCATATCCTGGAGTTCCCATCGGTTTGATTCTTTATGTCCTGTCATAGTGATCTGTCTGCTGTTATGATTCATGTACACAAGAGGGTTTCCCTGCGTTAGGCATAGCTGATACCTTGAACTAGAAAGATGAGTGCCTTGTTTTCTACATCCTAACTTGATTCACAGTGTTTAAACGCTGGTATTAGCGGTTGGTGGTAACTGACGTCATCACGGATAGTTCCCTTGAAGCCGCCTTCCTTAGACGCTCGCACTGGCAGTGGCGGGTTCATGTCGTTCTGCATAAATTCGCACAGCCGACTTCAGCCTTACAGCATACATTATGATTCCTAGGTGGCTGAATTTAAGCACGTAGCCATAGGGTGTGGAAACAGGGCTTCCCGCCCGTTGACCTGTACTGAATTGCCTTAGGAACCTCAGGGGTGTGTAGCATGTGACAAGCCTGGACGACACCCGCAAACTAGTGTCCGTTTCGTCCGCTGTTTACCTACCTAGCCTAGATTGGCTAGATAGGGGCCGATTGCACCAATTCTGTCCTCGCAACACGCAACAGCTGGCTTTGTTTATTTGTTTCTCTGTCTGTTCACCTTGGTAGCATTCCAAAGGATACCCGGCATGAACGGAGTTGACAAGACGGATTACTCGCGCTGGCGGATGCTGGACGAGGATGGAAAGCACACATGGCATTATCTCGACGACGATGAAGCGGCTCGAAAGTGGCCCCAAACACTCGCTGATAAGTATTATTTAGGGCTTCCTCTGGTATCTCCACCATACGCGATTAACTTTCTTCAATGGCCCGGGCTCCAAGTACCAAATTCTAATTTGATATGAAATAGGATCTCCCGGATCTTCCTACTGCTACTTCACCATTAGAGAGTGCGATTAATGGCCTGGAATTCTTCTCGAAGCTACAGCTTCCACCGGGGAATTGGGGCTGCGAATATGGCGGGCCAATGTTCTTGCTTCCCGGGGTGGTGATTGCGTGGGTGGTGACGGGGACACCCATTCCGCCGGCCTATGCGACAGAGATCAAAAATTACCTGATTGCGCACGCGAACCCGGTCGATGGAGGATGGGGTCTCCATTCCGAAGGTGATAGCACTGTGTTTGGCACATCCCTGAACTACACCGTGTTGCGGCTTCTTGGGGTCGACAGTGAGCACCCGGTCATGGTGCAGGCGCGAGGTCTTCTCCACCGGCTCGGAGGCGCCCTGAATGCGCCACACTGGTCGAAGTTCTGGCTAGCAGTCCTAGGGGTGT